CATTTTGCCTTTTTAGTTAAGGCATATTTCTATGGATCAAAACTGTTCAAATTTCACTTGGAGGGGAAGATGGCAAAGGTCTGCTGCAGTGTGTTTACCTACCACAGTGCTCTACCACACTGTCACAAGTTTTGTTTATCAGATTATTTGTTCTCAAAAGTGAGAATACAAATATCAAAATTTTTATCACTACACTACTATTTGCCCCCCAAAAGGATTAGATCAATTTAATAAATCACCATCAACACAGATGCTCCCCAAAAAACCAACAAACACCAGGCTTTATCATACTGTTTGTGGGACCCTCAACTCCCAGATAGCCAGGTAAAACCCCAGCATAGACAAATACACTAGGAACGACCCTGCACACTCCCATCTCAGAGAACGGGACTGGAGTCGCCTTGGCTCAGCACCCAGCATGATAGCAGGGTCCTGCCCACATGCCTGGCACTATAACGCTCCTAACACACTGAGTAAGTCTGCAAGCTGATATGAAAATGGGTAAAGGGAAAACTAGAGCAAAAGTGAAAAGGATAAGCAGCTATAAGAAAGATCTGATACTGTCTGAACACAGAAGAGGAACTGATGATATGACTAGAAGCAGGGGTGTTTGGAAAGAAAGGAAGGAATGACATTCCTTGGGCTAAGGATTTAAATGGGCCTGTGTGGAATTGCTCCTGCATTGATTTTTTGTTTTGGAAATCCAGTTCATACCTTTCCCTCCCAATAAGATGACCTTATTTAAACATTGCCTAATTCTCTCTCTACTGTTTTTTATGACTATCCAGGGTTGACTAGTTCTACTGTCTACTCAGATTATTCTTCTGCCTGATAATAATAAGTGCTAACATTTAGTAAGTGCTTACTATGTGGAAGGCATATTACTAACAGGTTTACTCTGAGGCAGTTAAATTTTATTTATTTATTTAGGTCAGAGCCTTAAGCTGTTGCCCTGGGTAAAGTGCTGTGACATCACAGCTCACAGCAGCCTCTAACTCCTGGGCTCAAGCAATTCTCTTGCCTCCACCTCTCAAGTAGCTGGGACTACAGGCCCCGGCCACAATGCCCGGCTATTTTTGGATGCAGTCAACATTGTTGTTTGGTGGCCTGGGCTGGATTCGAACCTGCCAGCTCAGGTGTATGTGGCTGGCACCTTAGGCGCTTGAACCACAGGCGCTGAGACAGCTAAATTTTAAACCCATTTTATGGAGGCAGAGATAAATGAATACACTTTTTATCAACTTCCTCTCTGGGAAAGGACTGGGTACAGAAGGAACCTGGAAGTCTGCTGAGAGTCCCCTGTGTAAACCACAGAAAACTTCTGCAGTTCAGGAAACTGCATCATCAGTATGTAGTTTACTAATAGTGAGCCACATAATGAAAACACAGAGCACAGCAAGGGCACACAGTACAGTGGTTGGCTGGCTTTGCAATACTCCAAGGTGTAACCCTAAACTGGCCATTTCACTTTCCGGAACCTCCTTTTTCTCTACTTTATATGATTTTAATACTGTTTGGGTTACTGTCAAAAGCTCCTCCGTGCCTCCCCCTCCCCTGAACTGTCTGCTGCCATGTCTCTGGCGCTGAGAAAATCTTTGCACCTGTTTCAGCACATTCCCCACAGGAGCAGCACTCACCCCAGACACCCGGTGCAGTCACATTTCCAAGGCGGTCTAGGCAAACACACTTCATGGGGGAAAAGCTAGAGGGAGAACCCGCCCTCCAGACTCTCAGGCCTGGGCGTTACCTGCTCTTCCTTGACACTGTGCACTGACACTGTTTCCCTCAATGATGCCCTGCTTTAATTTCTGTTTTTAACGGGCATTAGCGGCACAGGAAACGTCATCGGGATTTCCGCCCCAGCACGCGTGGATACATCGCTTACAGCCGTGGGTGAGGCGGCCACATTCGGCTCCCAGTTCCCGCGGAAGGACTGTTGCTAGACTCTGAGGGCCGTGAAAACACCCGGCACTCGGTCCACATTGAGACACGGTTTGAGGAAAGGCCGAGAGGGGCAAACGCAGTTCAAACGAGGTCTCTGAGCTTACACTTGCGGCTCCTGGGGGTCTCCCCGAGGAATCCCTAACCACATCAGGGGGCCCAGAACCGGTGCACACGCGGGACGCTTCCGCCCCGCCCGCCCCCCGGGGCAAGCTCCCCACTGACCCGCGCTCCTCTCATCCGGACCAGAATGGGAGCTGCCGCCGCCTCACGAAGGCCTTCCAAGGCCGGACGCCGACTTTCTCTGGTGGGCCGCGGCCTCGCGCCCGCCTGGCCCTAGCCTCGGGCCTCTGGCTTCACCGCCCCCTAGAGAGGCCCAGCCCAGCCCTTCGCGCCCTAGCCATGGGCCGCCGCGTCCTCACCTACTTTGCCCGGCCGTCGCTGCCTCCCGCAGCCGCCCACCGGCCCGCACACTACGCCGCCGCCGCCGTCCACTCTCGACTGTCCGGGGCCTCCCCAGCGCCGCGCGCCCGCCTGGGACCCCGCCCCACCCCGCGGACGCATCTCTGATTGGCCTGCAGGGTGCCTGGGCGGGGCCTCGTTGGCACGCCTCCAAGAAGCGCCACACCGAATTCTGATTGGTGACCGACCGAGAAAAGGCAGGCGAAAGTGGCCGATGGTGTCGAATGCGAATCCAAGCAGAGCGACGGTACGTCGGGCGGGGCCTCGGCACGCTGGGCGGGGCCTCGGCACGCCGGGCGGAGTTCTGGGTGAGGCCCTCCTAGTTCCCGCTCTTTTGGTGAGGCTCTGGGTCGCCGCCGTCCTTGCCCTTCACCCATTGTACCCCTCCTGGGGTTATCAGGACTAGTATCCGTGGCTTACTCGCCCAGGGGTGTCTGCGTCAGAGACAGGCAGTCTCCCTGTGGCCTCTGGACCCCGGTCTCAGAATGGAAATGTGAGGGTCTATAGGGCTTCCGGGACACCCACACTCAGCAGCGCACTGTCCTTGCCTTTAGGGTACATTGGACTCTTTTCTTTTGAGACAGAGCCTCAAACTGTGCCCCTGGGTAGAGTACTGTAGCATCACAGCTCACAGCAACTTCCAACTCCTGGGCTCAAGCGAGTCTCCTGCCTCAGCTTCCCAAGTATCTGGGACCACAGGCGCCCGCCACAACGCCTGGCTATTTTTGGTTGCAGCCGTCATTGTTGTTTTGGCGGCCCAGGCTGGATTCGAACCTGCCACCTTAGGTGTATGTGGCTGGCGCCTAAGCCACTTGAGCCACAGGCGCCGAGCCGGTACATTGGACTCTTACAGACCCCGGCCCAACATGCCCTCTGGGCCAGACCCTGGCAAACGCCGTCCTTGCACCGCTGTCAAGGAGTTAAATCCCGGAGCGACCCCACCGTGCCCTCGCCCCACTTCTCCGAGGTGATACAGCCTCCTTGGCGAAGTCCGAGCCTTCTGAGCTTCCCAAAAACCGAAGTGGGAAGAACGTTGGTCCAGAGGAACCTCGTTTCCCTCGAGGCCTCTTCGGGGTGTGGGGTCCTGGCGGTATCGCAGAGACCGGCTCGGCCCCCAACAACGCTCCACCAGCCCCAGAGCGGCGCACACACTACACGGTAGGACCCGTGCGTGTACCGAGCGGACGGTGCGGAGAGGTGGGGGCGCATCAAGGGCTGCGGGGCGTGGGGGAGGTAGAGTTTGCTGGGCACAGGACAGGGCTCAGGAGGGGCCCAGAGTTCTGAGGGTGGGGGTGTCCAGCCACCCAGATTAGGCTTCAAGTCTCGTTTTCAGTTTTCCTTAATGAAGTTGTAGGGCTTTCCTGTTTTTTTTTTCTGATGGCATGACAGCTCACGGCAATCTCAAACTCTTTGGCTTTAAGAGATTCTCTTGCCTCCGGAGTACCTGGGACTACAGGTGGCTGCCACAACGCCCAGCTGTTTTTTTGTTGCAGTTGTCCTTGTTGTTTAGCAGGCCCTGGCCGGGTTCGAACCCGCCAACCTCCGTACTTGTGACTGGTGCAGTAACCACTGTGCTACAAGCGCCGAGCTGGACTTTCCTATTTCTTCTTAGCTATATTACAATTATTCATTTATATTTCCAGGTTTTTCATAGTCGTTGCTACTGTGATCACATCTTTCCCCATTATACTTTCTAGTAATAAGTAGGTGTTACTGACCTCTTATTAGTGCCATTTTTTTACTAGATGGCTTTGCACTAAGTAGATGACCTCATCACCTACAAATAACTTATTTCCAATCCTTACCTCATTTGGGCTGGGATCTCCAATATGTACAAAGTTCATCAGCACTGATGCTACTAATGGAAAAAGTTATGATTTTTACCTTTATTCTGTTATTTGAGACAGTGTCTTGCTGTCACCCAGACTGGAGTTCAGAGGCCCAATAGCAGCTCAAGTGATCCTGGTACCTCAGCCTCCTGAGTAGCTGGGACAGACATAGGCCACTACATCTAGTTCATTTTAAATTTGTTGTAGAAACAGGGTATTGCTATGCCCCTGCTGGTCTAGAATTCCTGGCCTCAAACCTCCACATGATGGCATTATAGACATAAGCCACTGCACCCAGCCTCTTCCTGATTTTATTTTTTTGAGGCAGAGTCTCACTTTGTTGCCGTCATAGAATGCCGTGGTGTTATAGTTCACAGCAACCTCTTTAACTCCTGGGCTCAAATAATCCTCTTGCCTCAGCCTTCTGAGACACACACACACACACATACCCCCACAATGCCGTGCTAGTTTTGAGAGATGGGGTTTTCCTTTTGCTCAGAATGGTCTTGAACTCCTGACCTCAAGCAATCCACCGGTCTTAGCCTCCTGGAGTGCTAAGATTACAGTCATGAGCCACTGCACCCAGCAGTCTTCCTAATTTTTAACAAAAAACCTCACACTTTGCCCATGTAAAGAACCAGTAAGAGAAGTACTCATTTGTTATCTAAACAACAGTGCTTTATTGATAAAAAGTTAGTTTAAATGGATACAAAATTGCTGTGTAAAGTAAGTGTTTTTCAAAATACATTTCTAAAGGTAGACATTATCTCGTAGTAAAAGCAATTTTCTATTCGCAAAAGCATTTATTTAGATTTGAATAACCAAACAAAAAGAGATTTAGAAGTGTCACAGTGTGTGCCCTCCCACCCTAACAGTCAGGCCTTACCTTTTCCCCACACAGTACTTTATTCAAACATACATAGGACATACATCAATTACTTGCAAATGCTTTTGGTTTTTATAGCTTTTTCCAGCCAAGTTATTAAATGTAAAAAACTCAAATAACTGACTGCATGGATGTACTTGAAAACCGTGCGATACTTTTTCTTGGGGAAAAAACCTCACACCACAAGCCCCCCTGCGCCCAGCACAATGATGCAACAGTGGAGGGGCACGGTAAGCAGGGCAGTATGCCTTCAGGACTCAGATTACTTGACCATTTCATTTTTATCTTTTTTTCTGGCCAAAACAAAAGCCCTGTCTCATCCTCAGATTAAGCATTTTCTCCACCTGAGTTTCTCCTATTGTAGTGAAATGAAAATACTGAACCACACCTGCTCTGTATATAACTGTGTCCTTTCATCTGGCTTGGAATTTCCTAATGTAATAATGATGAAAGTGTGCCAGAGGCATTCACAGGAGGAAAAGGTAGGAAGGGTGAGAGTCAAGGCACAATGCACAGAAAACCAACCAGATGTGGCTTCAAGTATGCACAGTCTATTAACCAGCCTACCCTACAGGTGTGGAACGTCTTTCATTTTTACATAGCATATGGAGAAATTTGTGTAACAAAATAACAATGGTTGAAAATAAATGAAGGCAGTCTGCACATGAAAAAAAAAGACTGCTATTTTTCTCCCATCAGAAAAATATTCAAAAGTGAGTAGTTAATGGAAACCCAAATCAGGAAAACATGATAGGCATTTGGGCTTCATGGAGTGAGACCTTAGGGCGAAACACTGTTCAGTGACTGGCCTGCGTTCACGGGCACATTAGCCAAATGACCCCACAGCTGAAGAGGGTCTTCTAAGTCCCAGTTACAGAAAATGCACTAAAGTACAGTATGAAACATAAAAAAGGTTGGTTTCAAAACAGGTCAACTGCTAATTTTCCTTAAAAATATTTATTAATTTAGTTGAGTAAAAATAGTTCACTGACTCCCAATGTGTAGGTAAGAACTTTAGTTGCAATATGAAAACTAGAGCTCATAGCTGCTTTGATTTTTCTCTGTAGCACAGTATAACCAGTATCAGTACAGAACACTACAAAAACTGGCTTGTGATGACTTCTCTGCATAGTGGTTTCAAAAATGACCTAGATCAAGACTTCTTAAAATACACCTCTAAAAGCCTGTTTTAAAGAAGCTATGTAAGTATTAACATATATCTCATTAGATGATTCTATTATGTTTTATCTGGTTAACAGATAAATGATAACAGTATTGAATTATAGCAGCTGAACTGGTTTTAGGTATTGTGCACAGACATAAGTAAGAGCAAGGAAGTGAAGTGTCCGTAGGGTGCAACTTGGCAAGTAGATGGCCCTGCACCTGGTCAGCACATCTTTCTGCATCTCGAGGCACATGCCTCTCCCAGTCAGAAACATTCTGGGTAAATCTGAATAGTCTAGATATAAATCAAGAGTGCTCATAAAAATTAGCCAGTTAGGTCAGCTAAATAAAGAAATTCCGTATTAATTATACATGTTGACTGATTCTTAGAAATCAATTCTAACATTAGAGTTAAGGAAAAAATAAAAAGCAAAGTTCACCTCAAAATATAAGGTGAAACAGCAATGAAATACAGATACTAAAAGCACTTCATAAAAAAAAAAAAACACACCAAAAGTTTAAAAAAACAAAAATTAAATTCTCAGGCACAGGTTCTGTGAAACATTGGTGGGCACCATTCCAACGAGCTCATGAAACAGGCAGCAATGTTACCATCTGGAATGTTTTCCTTTTTTATCCAGGAGAGTATTTTCTAGAAAAACAAAACGAAGCACATTTAAGTGGAAGTGACACTTTGCTGCTGTGGTAATCAGCAGTACTACTTTCCTCTTTAACAGACGGTGTAGTTAACAGCAAAAGGTTGGGTTTATATGATCCCAACATTAACTGGGTCAAAGCACCCTTCATTAGGCTCTTAAAAACTAGTTGTACACCAAAGCTAAAGGGTACATAGAAATAACATAAAAATGTTGTATCTCTAAAGTGAAATTTTCATAATTCCATCAACATTTTAAAAATAAAGGAAAATTAGCAAATATCACTCCCTCTTGCCTCAAATAAACCCTCCCCTCAAAGAGGTCCTGTTTGTTTCCACTGCACCATCATTTCTCCGGTCAGGTGCCATTTAAAACTTGCTTCAGCAGCATTGTCCGGCTCAGGAGATGTCATTTAGCTAGTACATGACTGTGCACAAATGATTTTCAGCTCTTGCAGCAGCATCCATTTACTTACTGGTGAAGGTTGAACCCAGCATGTACCCTCAGGACTATTCCTAGGTTTCAGTGATGATGAAAGTACAGCAACCAATGTGGGCCCAGATGGGGGTTCTATGGATGTTCCCTTTACAAAAACTTACTAAATTGTACCTAAGCATTATTGTGTCTTTCCAGACATACACTGTATTTTATAACGAACACCTTTCCCAATAAAGCTACATAGGAGTTTGGTGACCAATGCCTCGCACATCACTCCATGTCATCTTTAGCCATTTGTCCACCTGTCCTGGAGGTCTGTGGACCCCGGGCCTTCTGTCCAATTTACCCTGTCATGTGTCAGCTGAGCTTTAAGTCACCTCCATGTTTTGATCAACACGCTCATACTCCAGGAGGTGCCGGAACTGCAGTGGAGAACATCTACCTAATTCCCAGCTTTTCCTTCCTCCATCTCTGTCAACTCACACTCACTTTCAAGCTCTAATCATGACTTGTTTGGCTTTCATTTGCCTTCTACCCCAGCTCCATAATTGGCTGCTCTGTCCTTTGGACTCTTAGGTCTTTATGTGACTTTATCTTTCACTATTTTCCTCTGGGAGTTAATGGGACTCACACCTAGACAGGTCTGCACACCATCTCCTCCAAGTGACACAGGTAGTGAGCATTTGCCTTTTCCCGGTCCTGAGTCCTTGGCATTGGCAGCTTCTGTGGAATCAGGGAGGCTGGTGTGCACCAGGCCAGACACAGCAGCACTCACTGTCTCAAGGAGCTGGGAGTCAGCGTCTGGTCAAACAGACCCTCACTGCACAGGGGACCACCGTTTCCCTTCATGGCATCTAGACTTTTATCTGGATGAACTACTTTAATAACACTTCTTTATTCCCTTTAACAAAATATTTTCAGTATTAACAAATTTCCAATTGTAAGGCTAAAATATTTCAATATATAAATTTTTTTCTAGTGTTTATCATGTTTATAAGCTTAGAAAGTATGAAAAATCTTTACTAGAAAGTAGGTGACAAAGTTGTGGCTTCTGCTCTTTAGGAGTAGTCTTTTTCCTTTAAGGCTAGTAAATGTTAGTTAATGACAGAGGTTCAAAAATGCAAAACATTAATAAGATTTAAGTTGGACGAGCCTGTTATTATACACAAGTTGAGATGATAATAGTATCTGTTAGTAACAGCTGCTTGGTCTCCCTGACTACTAACATGTGCACGTCACCTCACACATGGTGCCCGAGCGCCCCGCCGTCGCCATCCCCTCCCTGCATCTGGGCCTGCATCTGCGCCTGCATCCTCGCGATCATCTCCTGCATGCGGCGGAGCTGCACAGAGACACCAAATGTTACCTGTGTTCACAGCATGCTGTCTTAACATTATTTATGGGTCTTCTGTGATTCCTAAAATCTCAACTTTTTATGTTTTCCTAAAACATGACAAAAAACATACTAGAAATTTTTATAAATCAATAAAAGGACAAACAACTCAATAGAAAACCAAGCAAATGCTAAGAATATGCAATTTAAATAACAATTTCTCAGAAAATGAAGCAGTGATCAAAGAAAAGGAGATTTTTTTTTTTTTTTTTTTTTTTTTGAGACAGAGCCTCAAGTGGTCCCCCTGGGTAGAGTGCCGTGGCATTACAGCTCACAGCAACCTCCAACTCCTGGGCTCAAGCGAGTCTCCTGCCTCCGCCTCCCAAGTAGCTGGGACCACAGGCGCCCGCCACAACGCCCGGCTATTTTTTGGTTGCAGCCGTCATTGTTTGGCGGGCCTGGGCTGGATATGAACCCACCACCTTAGGTGTATGTGGCTGGCACCTTTAGCCACTTGAGCCACAGGCGCCGAGCCTGTGGTTATGTTTTTAACATTTAAATATTTGACCTGTGTTGAATTAATTTGACCAAAGAAGTATTTTCTTTTTGCTTACAAAAGGTTGGCCCATTATATTATTTACCAAATAATCAGTTTGCATTCCACAATTCTATCAGCTCTGAATGCCACCTTTACAACAGAGGACATTTTTGTATTTCTGATCTATATCTAGGTTGTATGCCTAACCAGCCCATAGGCCTGTGGTACATGGTGTGAGCTCAGGAGTTGCAGACCAACCTGAGCAAGAGAGAGACCCATCTATACTAAAAGAAAAAAAAAAAAAACCCAAAAAACTAGACAGGTGTTATGGCGGGCGCCTGTAATCCCAGCTACTTGTGAGGCTAAGGCACAAGGATCACTAAAGCCCAAGAGTTTGAGGTTGCTATGAGCTAAGATGCCACAGCACTCTACCCAGAGTGACAAAGTAAGATTATCTCAAAAACAAAAATGTTTTTAGTAGCGTTTTCTAATTTCTTTCCCCATATATTAGTAAGTCCCACATCTTTCTCCTTAAATTTTTGTCAATGGTTGTGAATGGCAGTTTCATTATATTTTTCAACTGATTATTATCTATGTATGGGGTACATTACAAAATTCTGTTCCAATGTCTTGTTTAGCTAAATATATAAAGTATTATGTATATTATTATATGTATATAGGCATATCTGTAGTAATAAAATAAGATTAGCTACATGTAATATAATCCCACTCAAAACATTAAGGGAAGAAAACTATTATAAGATAATTACACTTAATATTATTGGATGTAAATTGAACAGCTTTAGTAAAAAGAATGGCACTTTTGTACTGACCTCAGCTTCCTTTTCCAGCAAGATCTGATCTTTATTCATGTCCTCACTCTCCACTTTCCTAAGAGTTGAAAGAAATTGCAACTGTAACATTGTGACAAATATAGTACTTATTTGCAATTACAGACACCCAAAGAAAAATTATACTTTAGAATGCTGAGAACCATATCTGTTTAAAATTATATTCATTATTTTTCAAATTAAAGATATGATAAACAAAAAGGAAACAGAATGATGGAAAAAGGACTAAATAATAAATGGAAAAATCAAGAGTCTTTTCTTACTCTAAGCTGAGCTGATAAAACCTCTATCTTTAGCCACTCAAAAAACAGCAGCGTTGGTGGAAGAACATCCTGTAACACAGTGTGAGGGGGAGCAGGCAGAGCACCCCAGACAGCTGGCTGACACACCAGCTCCCCAGAGCTCGTTGGGCCCTCATTACAGGGCCATGGCTGTTGTGGCTCCTGGAGAGTACAGTTGTCTTGCTGCCTCTAAAACCGTTCTATTATAATGGCTGTTTCCCAAATCAATAACACAGTAAATCAGATTTCAGTGAGCTCCCCATACATATACATGATATACCAGATTAAAATGTCAATGTTTTAATGACTCTAATATAGAAAAAATTCAATAAATGATACATATTACTTATTTGTTCATTAAATTCTAGTCTAAGCAGAGATGTGTTTTGACCAGATACAAAATCACAAGCCAGGTCACAAAACAGAGACCTCATATAAAACACAGCAGGATGGGAAAGAAAAAGAGGTAAGGGTAGCTGAGGGAGTTTGCAGGGAACTGCAGGGGTGGAGCCACTGCTCTAATGGCCATGGCTGCTCAGAAGCCACACCCTGTGCTCACCCTGTGTCTTAGTGGTGAACAAGTCTAAGTTCACTCACAGACCGTGATGCTTCTGCAGAAATACCCAATACAAGCTTTCAGCCTTTCTATCTAAAGCGGTTTTTATGTGGACATTATTAAATCTATCTTTTCATTATAAGGCTTAAACAGAATAATGTGATTAAATTAGCAGCAATGGCTATTGAGTAGAGAACCAAACTGTGTTGCTTATGGCCAAGAAGGCTGAGCTGGACACACAGAGGAGGAGACACAACATGACTTGGGTGCAGTACAGAGTAGGAGACAACATGACAACCTGCCGCCTCTCTTGAGCCTCTCAGAACGGAAGTTTTCATAGTGAAGGTCCTGGGTCACCTCCTGCAGGTCCTGCATGTGGGTTCTGAAAGAGGGTCCATCACAATGGTCACAAGCGCATGCCATTTCCATGGAAAACACTGACCAAATATATGCCTAACAGACAGAACTAAAAGTTACTTAGTAAATGGTGCACAGGGTTACTGGGATTTCAGGGTAAGGAGTGTGGCTGTGGAAGCATCTACGGAGGCACAGCTCTCCCTGTGACCACCATGAACGCCCCACCTCCAGCTGTGTATAAGTCCTTTCCACTGGAAACACGCAAGCCACCAGCACCACCAATCCCTGCAGGAGGCCATCCCCACTGAGGGGGGCTGATAGACTGTGTCCAAAATAGACACACTTCTCTAAAAAAATGTATGGAAATATGAAATTCAAACATCCCTGACTTCTTAAGCTTAAAATTTATATATTACTCTTGTTTCTTTTTTTGAGACAGAGCCTCAAGCTGTCCCCCTGGGTAGAATGCCGTGGCATCACAGCTCACAGCAACCTCCAACTCCTGGGCTTAAGCGAGTCTCCTGCCTCCGCCTCCCAAGTAGCTGGGACCACAGGTGCCTGCCATAACACCTGGCTATTTTTTGGTTGCAGCCATTATTGTTGTTTGGTGGGCCCGAACTGGATTCGAACCTACCACCTTAGGTGTATGTGGCTGGTGCCTTAGCCACTTGAGCCACAGGCGCCCAGCCTATATATTACTCTTGTATAAAAAACAGCTGGCTTGCTCTAGCTGTGGAGAAGACCATAAAGACAAAGACTGATACTCTGGATCCAAGAAAATGGGACTTTGAAGCTTTTACTCACCTTATGAAACACTCAAGCTAAATTGCCCAGCTTATTCAAATACTTAAGTACTTAAGAATGGGCAAACATTACAACACACTCCTGTGGGTGAAGGTCAGCTCACACTCTACTTCGGGAAACACTAATGAATACACTCTATAATTTCTTATACGAATATTATGTTTAATAAAGCTTGGATGGCAACATCTTACAGATTTTGATTCACTAAAAACTGCTAAACTGAGATGCTATGCTGGCATGCATAGCAATTTTCAGTTAATCAAAATATTAATTTATATCAGATAATATCTATTATTTATATCTATATTCTTTGAACTGAGGTATTTCTTTCAAGCAATACTCTTTCAGCCTTTTTATTCAGAAGTAACAACAATGCATGCATGTTTCTATATATAAAATTATTTTGTAAAGAAACAAAGGTCTATTTTCACATGCAGGTCTGTTATAATTGCCAAAAAATAAACGGAATAGAACTGTCTCCAGGCTGAGCGGGGCCATTCTTGAGGCCCAGTCTGATGCATATGGGCACTGCAGCACCCTGTCTCCTCACCAGAACGCACTATAGGTCTAGTCTCCTATCAGCTTCAAAGACATAATCAGGAAGGAGAAGTGCTAAGCCAAAGGCTGTAGGAGGAAGAGGCCAGTTCAGCAGTGCTCAGGGAGCCCTGGGTGAGAAGGTGCTGCAGACACACCATGCTCTGCAGGCTGTGCAGTAGTGGAGGACGTGTCACCCCACATGTGAAGCACCACTCCCATGCCAAGCTCTGCCAGAGGGAACACACTGAGTGTCTCACATGAGCATCGTCCTCAGCTTCAGAAAGTCGTTATGCTCTGGGTTCTCCACCTCCACAACACCCCAAGGGTAGAGACGGCCTCTGACCTTCTTCCCTTTAGCTTCAATCAGCTGATTGGACCCAACCACGGAGAAAGGGATGCTGGCCTAGAAAGAGACAGACAGGGTAGGCAGGCTCCACGCAGAGCCTCAGTGTTGACTGCAAACACAAGAACATTAGCACAGACTTAGCACATTGCTACTTACTATAAAATGGAACTGGAAAGCTGGGATACTCAACATTTTTCTTGGACGTGTTGGATATTTTCCACATGGGATAAATTGTATGAAAACACATTAAACCTGCAATTTCCTGAAGGACTTGAAATTTCCAAGCCTTAGAAAACAGCTATGTCAAAATATACGGTAAGCAGTAATACTATAACTAAATCTATCTGAGACATTCTCTCTGAGGCCAAGCCTTCTAGGAAATGGCCCTCTGCCTGCTCTTTCATTGTAAATGCAGAGATAACATGAAACAGGAGTCATTTATACTGTGTACTTGAAGCCAGTTTTTACCTTGAGAAGTCTAGTCTGCTCTTTAAAATCTTCATCTTCATCTGATTCTGCATCGGGTAAGTGATAGATTTTAATGTTATGTTCTTCAATTTCATCCAGAATCTGAAAGAATAACAAAACCAAGATCAACTTTAGCAAGTTCCATGTTATTTTAGTCAAATCTAACTCATATATCAGAATCTGAGTTCAAGAGCAACCTGACCAAGAGCGAAACCCTATATTTACTACAAACAGAAAAACTAGCCAGGTGTTATGACAGGTGCCTGTAGTCCCAACTACTCAGGAGGCTGAGGCAAGAGGATCGCTTGAGTCTAGGATGAGGTTGTTGTGAGCTATGATGCCATGCCACTCTGGCCAGAGCCATAGAGTGAGACTCTGTCTCAAAAAAAGAAAGAAAGAAAAAGAAATATATCAGAGCCTACAAATGTCAATAAAAAATCACTAAAATTATTTTCAAATGATTTTATCAATTGCTAAGAAGGTATTTAAAAGCCTAGGCAAATTAGTGAGACCCTGTCTCTAAAAAGGGTTTTAAAAAATTAGCCAGGTACAATGTAGTCCCAGCAATTTGAGAGGGTATGGCAGGAGGATCTCTTACAAGGAATCAAGGTTGCAGTAAGCTATGACTGTGCCATTGCATTCCAGCCTAAGTGACAAAGAGAGAGAGAGAGACTCCTTCTTTAAAAAGAAAAAAAAGGATTTCTCCTTTAATTTTGAGGAAGCCTGTGTGTAGAACCAAAAACAACGTTGGCAATAATGACCACAATCTCCAATGTACAAAGCCAAGGGAGGGCAGACGCCAGCCCTGCATAACAGACAAATAAACTCATGCCGCAGTCAGCCTCAAGGACAGAAGCCACAGGAGAGACCACAGGCAGGAACAAGCAGGCATCCTGTAAGTAGGAGGAGGGAGAAACCTCTCAGAGGGGAGAAAAACTGCCAAAGATACAGAGAACAGGACACATGACGTGTGTCTAAGAAATAACAAGAACTCTAAAAGGTGGAATCTAAGACAGTTAGCTGGATGAGAGAACAAAAACTAGGGTTACAAAGCAGAGAGTTCCCTGAACACCTGGGAGTCCAGATTTTACTCAAAAGGCAGCAAGCAGCCAGCAGTGAATCTCATAATCAGACCTATCAACCCAAGCAGTATAGTGCTGAGTGGGGGAGGAGAGAAAAATCTTGGGCTGCTGTTGAAATAAACAGTCATTTAATTAGTCAACCAATTAAAAGCTCAGTCCCCAAATGCCCACTACGCCAGACACTCCGTCAGGTGCCAGGCAGGCTAGAGTTCTGCTTGTTCTCAGCCCAGATTACAGGAAGAGAAAACAAGAGCAAAGAAAACATCATCAATTCAAACCCTGTACTGGATTTGCTCGTTGGTTCTGCGAGTGAAAATCCTTAACACGACCTCTTGTACCTTCCATGGTCAAAGACCTTGGTCTCCACCACAATGTCTGTACTAATTCAGAATTTCAGAACAGGCCTTCCCCTCCTTACATCCTTTACTTTGTAAACTCACCTTTAGTCTTCATAAATCCTGTGCCTAAAGAGGAGAAACCATCTCTCTCTTGAGAGAAACTTAGCAGCAAGCATGAGCTTGCTCTCCAGGCTGTACCCTATCGGCCCTTTCCTGGCCTATCATCCTTCTGACCCTATGTTTAGTCCTCTGCTGACTTCATAAAGACAAAGTTTCTCTGATGGAGAAGAGATTTGAAAAACATTCCGTAACTAGACTATTCAAAATTGGAGGAGAGGAGTAAGAAAGGGATGAATCAAAAATAGTTACACATTTCTCAGGGTAATTCCAAGAATTATGGGATTAAAAGATAGGGAACTCAGGAAGACAAGAGCTCCTTAGAGGTGAAAACAGGACTCCAGTTTGCACATGTAATTCAAATGAAGAAATAAGACCCCTGGAAGGGGAAAGCAGAACACAGAGACTACAACACAGCAAAGCTGCTGAGTGACTCCCCCTCACAGCAGTGACAGGAAAAGTGGCCAACATAGGAACAGGCCCACTGTATTGACACGTACCTGTGGGGCATGACTGGTCTGTGAAAATTAGGTCAACTTAGGGGGGTATGTGGATTCTACTGTATTTCTAAGGAATACTGACCTTCAGGGATCAGGAAGGTGAAAAAAACAGGTGGAAAGCAAAGCAATCAGAGGCCAATGAAAGGAACTGCCAATCACGGCCTCCTCCACAGGGAAGTCCCACGTGTGAGGACTGAGCTGCTGGCCACAGCCCTGAAAGAACTGCAGCTGGATGGCAGGAAATCAGAGTGAAGGGGTCATGAGAAGGTTTTAACAACCACCATGAAGTGTCTAACACAAAGAAGAGGATGGATGAGAGTTCTTTTGGATGAGGCAGAATAAAAAGAGGCCCACGAAAGAAGGAATAAACAAATAATATACAGGAATTCCTGTCTCAGGAATACAAAAGTATTTCAATTCATCTCAGACTTTGTAATCAAGCATTAAAAGTTTTGGGTGTAAGATTAAAATGAGAACACTGTAACCCTGACATCCCCTTTCCTCAACCTCAATCAAATTTAATGTAAGCACATAAAAGGTAAAGTTTCCTTAACTGGGAGTGCTAAAATACTTAGTGTCAAATATTAAAGTGTCTAAGCATTAGGGGACTCTTCCAATGGCCTGAGTACTTCCTAAAAAACTAGCAGTACTGGCTCAGTGCCTGCGGCTCAAGAGCAGGCATCCTCAAACTATGGCCCGCGGGGCCACATGTAGTCTGCCTAGGAAATTTATCCAGCCCGCCGGGGGTGTTTTCCCGTAGCTGCCTGTCCTGCTTAGCAGCCGACTTGTCCAGGGGCCCACAGTCTGGCCCTCCAATGGTCTGAGGGACAGTGAACTGGCCCCCTGTTTAAAAAGATTGAGAACCCCTGCTCAAGAGGCTAAGGTGCCAGGCACATACACCTGAGCTGGTGGGTTCGAATCCGGGCCCGCCAAACAACAACAACAGCTACAACCAAAAAATAGCCAGGCGTTGTGGCGGGTGCCTGTAGTTCCAGCTACTTGGGAGGCAGAGGCAGGAGAAT